TTCATCAGCTCTCAGGAAAACTTAGCTGAAAGTTTCTATTTTCCCCTTTACCTCTTAATTTCTTCCCCTAATAATTTATTATGTTACAATAGATCTGTCACATTTATTTTTTTTAAAACTTAACTGCATAGATACTAGAACACCAGTGCTATGAAAGACCCTATGAACTCCGTGTTTTCCATACACACATGAAGGCAAAGAGACCAGAAGTGTACAATTTAAAGGAGTGAAAAATGTTTCAGGATGAACTGTTCTGAGAACAGTTATTTTGTCAGAATTTGGAAACAAATGATTCAGGCCCCTGCAGCCACTGTAGCTTTGTTTTGGGGCTTTGGTGAGGAAGATGAGGCCCCAGTCCAGCAAACAAGGATAATAAGTACATCTAAGAAGTATTTTACTCTCTTATATGGTAACACAGTAAAAGTACAATTATGCAACTAAACCTAGCATGAAAAATGACAAAAAAGCAAGGAAACTATAGTAATTTGTCATCTTTTATCCCTTCAGGCAGCAGACAATTCTTTGCAGGATTTAGCTGTACAGAAAGGAAATATATATATGCCTGTGTATGCATGCATATATACTTACATTGCAGCCACAGCAGCTCTTCACCTAATTGCAAGATATGGCCAAAGGAAGGGATATTCTAGCCAACATTGCAAATCATAGCTTAGAAATGTCATTTTAAAGTTTCCTTTGCCTCCCAAATAACCCATGTGGCATACTGCAAGTTAGCCATTGTTTACAAGGCATGAAGCATCACCAAGAGTGATTTAAGTCATCTAGCCTTTCCACCTGCCAATGCAGAATTGCTCCCCTGAGTATACTTCAGTGCTTTGCTGTGCTCAATCCAGTCTTAAATGTCTCAACAGATGAACCTTCTGTTTTGAGAACTGTCTTTGCCTTTTTCACATACCAGACATCTCTAAGATTCCCCTACCACTTCTTTCACACTAACTTGCACACTTACTGACTGGACTTTATGAAGTATATATAAACTGAGCAGCATCTACAAACTGCTTCTCCCAAGCACAGAGCAAGCCCAACAGGTTCACTGTCTTTGCACCTGTTGCTTCAAAAGGCATATCTGTATTGGTAATGCGTTTTAAAAGTAATTTGCTACAGACTATTCACAAACTTTAAAATTAAAGTCTCTTACAAATGAGTACTTATGCTCAGAGGTTTTTTTTTAAATCTGTGTACTTAAAAAATATATATTACAACAAAATTGCACCCTCAAACTTAATAGCTAGGGACAGAAGTTGCACATAAACCAGTTTAAGTGATCAGAAACTGGTTTAAACCTGTAACAGAACAGAAGCTCAGTGCATATAAACCAGTTTCAAAATTGTTGAAACTGGTGTAACATGAACCTGGTTGAATATAGTATCAGACTTAACTGACTTGGGTCAAACCAGCTTATGAAACTTCTGCCCCAGACCCTTCCTGGT